ATTACTGCTACACCTTCTCTTGGCCTTGCAGGTAACTATAAACATTCATTTGTTTAGGTATCTATTGCCTCCTATTTTGGGTAGGGTGGTCTGTGCCTCCCAACTGTCCTGGGACCCACCAGGTTAACTCTGTTATCTTGGTGTAATTATAACCAGCACTGCCTTCTACTTGAAAAAGTGCCCTGGTTTCTATATGTTAAATCATATTGAGCCCCACCTGATGGGAGAGCTCAGTGGGCACCACTTAGCTCCCCAGCCCCATCGCCTTTGGAAGTCTGGCTACTGCACTCTTCCAGGGGTTTTCTTTTGTGGAGGCAGCTCTTCCAATCATCATGAGGTTTGAGCCCACTCCAGAAAGAACAGACACCTGTCTCTGGAGAGACTCTTGATAGAAATAAAAAAATCAGTTCTCTAAATTTGTCTTTCCTTTAACCTTGGATCTTTTATGCACACGGGAATGAAAAATCCCTAATAATTACAACCCTAAATTGACTGAAATCTAGGAGCCAAGCCCATTTGAAAACTCTAACCTAGTAATTAAATTTAAGCTTCTCAGGTTAAATTGCACCTTAGTAATGTAGCTTATTTTGTCTAAATCAGTTAAGAGCTTTCTATGCAATTTGGAATAAATGGACAGACAAAAATTAAAATGTGGTTGGTCAAGGTAATCGGAAAGCTCACTTCATTCCATCAATAACAATGGCAATTTAACGAATTCTTTTACTACTGGGATGTAATTGTGCTTGGCTTTAATTTCTTATAGTGAAGAAACAAATTAAATTACTTCATACTTTTTAGGGACATTTGGCCACATCATGTTTTGGTGCTTCCAAAAAGCCCACTGGAAATTAAATCAGCTGTGTGATTGCTCATTCTATTTAGTGGCATGTCCACCTCATGTCAGTAAAATAGTAACCATTGTCTACCTTAATCCGACACACTGCAATAGAGTTAAAAGAAATTACCTCCCCCGCCCCTCTCCTCTTAGATCTCCCTATTTGTAGCTATCAAATTTTGGCATGCCTGCTGGAACACAATCCTGTTAGAACAAGCACAGTAATTCACAGCTGAAACTCAGGACTCTCTCTACAGTAAGGTTAAAATGTACCTGTGATTCAAATTTAGATGACTGTATGAGTTGGTAGGAACACGAAGATCATCAAATAATTTAAAGAACTACCGTGTTCTTCTTTCCCCAATTCCAGGTGGACACACATGCCTTGACGATGGGAATCTACTGCCATTAAAATTAATTAGTCTAGCACATTTTATCTTTAGGCCCTTACTCAAAGTAGGTAAAATATTCTAACAGAAACTAACACAATTTTCTTGAACACTCTAACTACTATGCCCATATGGTGAAAGAGCATACTAAAAATTACATTGCAAATAGAGCGCTACAAGATGATATTAAATATTGAAAATACACACAGCTTTAATAAGCAACATTGTGGCAAAGACTGCTATCTATTCTATAGAATGGATGCCTTCTTCATCAGTTGTATTTAGAATCCTGATTTTCACCTAAGTATATGACTTGCTGAAAGTGTCCAGATTCCTTTGTAGCCAAATGTAACCACATAACTAAATTATGGTGAATAGGTCGGTGATAAAATTGTTACATTGAGGTTTCAAAACCTTTTCTTAAAATATATTTGTCATTTATCTTATATTTGCCTGTCTTTCTTCTTCTTTCTTTCTTACTAGCTAGAATGTGAAATTCATGGCTGGGGTCAGAGCAGCCATATTGAACCATGAGTTGACTTTAGGCACAGAGCTCATGTTGAACAAAGCAACAAGATGAATGGAACATGTGTCCTTGAGGACTTAATAGAAAAATATTGTCTTATTAGCACTGGACTACTTATTTTGAGATTTTTAACACAAGAGGGACATGTCTACCTTTTTAAAGCCACTTCTAATTTAAATATCTGTATTTTTCAGCCAAATGCAATAACTAATACAAACACCAGTAATAAGAGACTCTTAGTCATTGATGAATTTGGACATCAGGTGACAGGTTTCTACTGTGATTTGGAGATCTTGTGCAGTAGTAATAGAGTGTTAGTTAACAGCTTGTTCAGAACTATCTGAAAATGATGTTTAGAAAATTCTGCCAAAACATAACCCCACAAGAACCATCCTGAAGCTTCCCTTAGGCTTCAGGTATCTGTCTTTCCAGCCAGACTTGACAGTCACTCTAGCCTGGAAGCCATCATGGTGAACCAAAGGTAGTCTCCCTGCCATGATAAGCACTGTCCTCACTGGTGGGAGCCATCCTTCCCACTCTCTTATATACTTAGACATACAGATATTTACATATTTCTTCTTATCCCATAGCACATTCAGACAGCACATTGATCTCTTTAAATCATTAAAATCTGGAGGATCTTTTAAAAATTATTTCTTCCCAATATTTGTCATCTTAAGCCAATATTCTCTACTCCCGCAAATCTAATAACTTTAAAACTAAGTTCTTGTGGATCCAAGTCATGCTTGAAAGGTTTATTGAATGACATATTGTGGTTGTATGGTCAGCATACAAATACTTCTGAGTGTACAATATTTTAAAGCAAAACACTTTATGTGTAAGCTCTGTGAGGTTATAGACCATGGCTATTTTATTTATTACCAAATCCCTAGCTCCTAGAACAGTGCCTCTCAATATAAATCTGCCAGATGAATAAATGAAGAGTTGGCCTGGAGTAGTAAACTTGTTACTAAACTTGCACACGTTTGAGACCTACCTGTGTGTATATGTTGTCAGTCAGCCTGTGGATGACTTCCTAGTTCTGTGCCTGTATATTGTATCGTCCGCCACAGTTACCAAGGAACTTATCTTTTATAAATTGTTCCAGCATCACACCTTCCTCCTACAGAGAATTTTCCTGCCCATTATAAATCCCTGAAAAACTGTCATTCTCACTTCAGTTCCCTAATGCATAGCCACACTGCTAAAGATACTTGAGTGGGAAGAGATATGCATGCTTGAGCTTCCTTTGGGAAAAATATTGGAATTGTCAGGAATGTGTTGCTATAGAAATTACAATGCAGGCCATAAAAGATAAATTAGTCTTATTTGTTCACAGCACTGCACTCAAAAAATTAAGATAGGAAATACAAAGATGCTCTAGTACAATTTTTAAATTATTTTATTCACCTATTTATTACTATTTTTTTGTTTGTTTTTGGAGAGGTTTTCGCTACAGGGCATGTGCGCTCACCAGAAAGAAAGAGAGAGACAGAGAGACAGAAAGCGAGAAATCTCCCCCCAGGGGGGATGGTCACACTGCAATCCCTTCTCCTCCGTTCTCCTCTTGGGATCTTGGGCACGCATGCACACGCGCCTGGAGTGAGTTTAAGCCACCGGGTCTGGGATTCGAACTGTGGTCGACTACATGGGAGTCCAGCGACATAGCCATTATGCTAACTGCTGGTCCCATATTTTTTCACATGGGTTTTTTTTTTTGGGGGGGGGAGAGATTTCCCCCCCCCAGGGGGGATGGTCACGCCGCAATCCCTTCTCCTCCGTTCTCCTCTTGGGATCTTGGGCACGCATGCACACGCGCCTGGAGTGAGTTTAAGCCACCGGGTCTGGGATTCGAACTGTGGTCGACTACATGGGAGTCCAGCGACATAGCCATTACGCTAACTGCTGGTTCCCTTCCTATGGGGTTTTGCCAGAGAAAGAGAGAGAGAGAGCAAACTGTCAGGTTCAGGACTCGAACTGTGGTTGGCCATGTGGGAATTCCAGTGCCTTAACCACCACACCACCTGCTAGCCCCTCTAGTACAATTTTGAACAGAGACCTACCACTACCTCTTTCAACAAAGTGTCAGAATGATCTCCTACTGATCTTCTGCTTCCTCCAGAACACAAGTCAGCATTGCCAGTGTCCCCTCTAATCCCCTACTGTTTATTGCCAGGAAAGAAGGCAGTGGCATCGTCTAAGGAGAAATTACTTCAATCTTTCAAAACCAAAAATTATCTGATCACAGAACAGGGAAAAAAAAGAAAAGAAAAACACAGAAAGACAAGATGTTCTGACTACTCTAATGAACGCTACCTAACTATAATACCATTGATAAAATGCATCACTAAACAGATGAGAGAGATTTATTAACTAAGAGGAATCTTTGTATTAACTGCTATGTTCTCCCTAAAATCAGTATTTAGCTGTTTCTTATATACTGGTATATCATGACATTCACAAATTTAAAACATTAGTTTTATGACTTTTTTTTTTCAATATTTGACTGTTCCTCAACTAATAGTTGAGCTGTTTCCTCTATAGCTCAGTATCTGAGCTAATACTTGGGGAGAAAAGTATAGATAAGTCATGCTATAACATTCAAAGGCAATCAGAGGGTTGAGACTATACTGCACTTATGTAGAAAAGTACCCTTGTTCCTGAGAGTTCTACACTGGGAAGTGTGGGGATGAAGGGTCATGATGTATTGTGTACAGCTTTCTCTTAAGTGATTCAGAGAAAAAAAATAACGTATGTGTGTCTATGTGCATGTGTATATGCACACGTGTGTATGCTCACAGAGAGTGATAAGGCAAGCTAAGCAGAACGTTGACAATGGGTGAATCTGGGTGAGGGATATGTGTTCTCTGTGCTGTTCATGAAGCTTTCCACATTTTCAAAATTATTTCCAAATAAAGCTTTTATTTAAAAAAAAGGGCAATCAAAACAGTGTCAACGAAAAACTCAGTTATTTCACATTTGAGCACATTTTCCTACCCCACCTGCATGTATACACACTATACACACATATACACTATCGGCTCACATAAGTGATATTTAATGTACTTTGCTGCCTATGTGATGAGTGTTAGTGTAGGACATGAGTGGGAAATTCAGTCTTCTATTCATACATTCACTAAGCAATTCTAAGAGGTGTTTTTAGACAATTATTTGACTTTTAAGACAATAATCTCAAAGACACACTGTAATGGCTTTCCTCATAAACAAGACTGCCCTTTTGTCCTTTCAGATTTGGTTGAAACTGGCCAATGAAGTGCAGCTACCTGAGCACACATCCTTGAGAAAGAGAGCTGAGGCATAATGCCTTAACCACAGGCTGTTGAAAACTTGGCCAAAAGCAACTACCCTGGACTGTTGACTTCAAAAGTGCTGATGAATACGATGAACTGTGGAAGATATATGATTTGTTTTGAACACATTCACTATGATTGATGACCCAGATTTGGCAAGCGAGCTCATTCCCAGTGGAGATGAAAGTCTCACTGCCTCGCCTCTTTCAACATTCCCGTTGAGACAGGTTTCACTCTTATTGGCCAATGTACTAACAAATCCCTTATATTTGCAGCATAATGAATTTATTAGCTACACTGTGAATCAATGCTGTACATAATATTCCTCAGTCAACATGAGCTCTTAATTAAATTTCTTTATTATAATGCCTCTAAAGAATTTCCTTCAGGTTGCTGAACTTCAAGATGTGTGTCTACGTGTCAGCCAGTAATTATGCTCCTAACTTTCTGAGATAGATCATGGCTAGAGTCAGGGTCAGGTGTGGAAATGATCAATTTATTATGAATGACAGGTTATAAAACTGATTTGTGTGCTCAAAAATATCCATAAACTGACTCAAACCATTCACAGTTCTCTGATACTCAGAGTGTCAGCCCTCTGAGCTGGCCAGTTTCAGGTTTCAATCAACTGGTAGGCTAACCAGCCAAGAAGCATTTTAGTACCTTGCAAGTGAACTCTATAGGCTGTCATCAGAAAGGCCACGCCAGCCAAGCTCTCACTGAATTACTCTGTGCTAGGTAAACTCTGCGGCCTCTTAAACTCCGCAGCCCTGATGCTGGCCCTACTGAAGTGTAGTTTGCAATCAGGTCCTAAAGGCTACCTGTCTGTGTCCCAATGTATTATCACAATAAACCAATGGGAATGAAATATCCAGCCACAGGCCATAAATCTGTTTGCAATAAATTTTCAATATTTGACATACTGCAGTGATTTATTAACTCAGATTGAGTCTCTCTCTCTCTCTCTCTTTCTCTCTTTTTTCTTTTTTTGCTAGAGGGGAGCATGCACTCACCAGAAAGAGGTGGAAAGACAGAGAGAGGAAGAGGATAAATAACTACCCATGGGGAAAGGTCACCCTGAAATCTCTTCTCCTCTATCTCTCTATCCTGTCAAAATTTGGGGCATCTCTATGTGCCCAGCATTGTTCTTGTGCCCAGCATATTGCTCAAGTTGCTGGATCTGGGACTTGAACTGCATAGTCACGTAGAATCCAGCTGTCTTAACTACCAGGCCACGGAGCTGGCCCAGACTGGGTCTCTTTTTAGCTATAGTGTTAGTCCTCTCTAAAATGTCAATAAACCATATTTTGACTTGCTTATCAAATAACTTAAAAAAACTGATATTTAGAGTATCAGTAACCCTTGACTAAATATACTAATTAATGATAATTCCCTCTTCAACTTTAGCTTTATTTTTAGGCACTGTTCCTTTTTTTTTCTATCCTTCCAACAAATAGCCTGACTTGTAAGAGTTAAAAAGCACTTCAGTTGCTTTATTTTTGAAACATGAAATAAACTTCTCCAGCAATCCCACTTCTTTTTTCTTTTCTTGTCTTTTCTTTTTTTGGAGAGGTTTTTGGTATAGGGAGCATGCACTCTACAGAAAGACAAAGAGAGACGAAGACAGAAAGCGAGAAATCACCCCCCAGGAGGGATGGCCATGCCTCAGTCCTTTCTCCTTCATTCTCCTCTTAGGATCTTGGGCATGCATGCACACCTGCCTGGCATGAATTTACGCCACTGGGTCTGGGACTCAAAACCACGGTCGACTACAAGGGAGTCCAGCGATGTAGCCTTTATGCTATCTACTGGTTCCTTTTCTATTTATTTATTTATTTATTTTCCATAGGGTGCAAGTGCTTGCCTGAGAGAGACAGAGAGAGGGAAAGTAAGAAGTCACCCCTCCCCCAGGGGGAATGGCCACTCTGCAATTGCTTCTCTTCCATTCTCCTGTTGGGATTTTGGGCACACACACACATAGGCCTAGTGTGATTTTCAAGCCACCAGTTCTGAAACTTGAATGCATTCGGCAATGTGGGAGCCCAGCACTTTAACCATCCTGCCACCTGCTGGCCCCTCTGTCCCATTTCTTGAGCTATATCAAAAGGAATTAAAATGTAGATCTTTAAGAGGTATTTACACTCCCTTATTTATTTCAGCATACTCACAAAAGTGAAACTATGAAAACAAACTAAATGTGTATTGATGAATAGATAAAGAAAATGCAATATGTACATACAGTAGAATATTATTCAGCTTTAAAAAGAAGAATACATAATATTTTCAACAATGTGGATGAACCTGAAGGATTTTATGCTAAGTGAAATAAGCTAGACACACAGACAAATACCACATGATCTTGCTTATTTATGAAATCTAACAGACAAATTCATAGAAGAAAGTAAACTTGTGGTTGCTAGAGGCTGAAGTCTGAAGTAGTGGGGATGTGTTGGCTAAAAAGCACAAAGTTTCTCATGAGAGGGTGGCTTTTTGGAGGCTGGGTAAGCATTCTCTACCGAAATACTGCAAGAGGATAAATTACACTCTACTTTATTCCTTACTTCATCACTTATTAAAAGGTTTTACTATTTACTTTTTTTTTTCAGAAAGCAGGAAAAATTATTTATACTAGTCTGGAGAAAAACACACCGTAATTTTTCAAGTCTATGCAGTAGAATGTACTGCCACCAAGCCCACCCCCGTGTTAGGCTCAAGTGTCTCCTGTAGGGCATTCAGCTACCTGCATCTTTTCAGGGGCAATGTCGTTCACATTTGTGCTGTAGACTTGCTGCTGCTGAATCCTTTCTGGGGCTTCCCCATTAGGCAGGAAGCAGAGGGCTTCTTGTTCCTGCATCCTTCATACACCCATGTAGCTGCTTGTGTCATGTATATATTACTCTTATAGCAAGGGTGTATGTGTGTGTGTTTGTGTTTTCAAAGTCATGTATTTCTTACAGTGATTTCAATTGTATGACTTCTTCACTGAAACAACAAAATTCTGCTAATGACAACCTAACCTGATTAGAGGCTTAACTCTTCTGGTTTAAATATACACACATACATGGCTTTAAGGAGATTGAAGTAAAAGGTAGAAAAGAGGGCCAGTCATTGGTGTGGGGGTTAAGGTGTCTGGATCCCACATGTTCCCATGGTTCAAGAGTCCCAGACCAGTGGCATGAGAAACAGGCCACACACCTGTGCATGCATGTGCAAAATCCTGAAGGAGAAGAATAGAGAAGAGATTGCAGCATGACATCCCCATGGGGGAGGTGCTTCCTCACTTTTCCTCTTTTTGTCTTTTACTCTCTCCAATGAGTACATGTAACTTTTAGCAAATTAAAAACAAAAAAAAAAAAAAAAAAGTAGCCATAGGTTCCTGAAGAGAGGAAAAGATATATGACACTCCATTTCCATCAGGACATTATTTTGAAATGCAGTAAGCTACCCCATTTCTAGTCTGTGTGATGTCACCAAGATATCGACTAGGTTTCTGATACAGATTCGAGAGTCTGAATGTCACTGCAGGAATGAATAAACCAAACAGATTGGATTCATATGGGTTTGCCATATGACACATTTTTTTTCCCACATAAGATTAGAGGAAAAGTTGATTTCATTCAATTTCCTGCCTTATTTGGGTTAGAACTGAAGTCAGTGCCATTATCCCTTTACTTATTCTCTTGACTTTAAAACCTGATGTGGAATTGGGCTATTACAGAAGAAATCATTTAATACCTCTTATTTCTCACTGGCTTCTTAAAAGAAGAAAAAACAGAACATGAATTTTCTCTTCTTTACAAAAACCATAATGGTTTTAGACTTAAAGAACTTTTTAGTTATCAAATAAATGTGCATTTGGTAAGGGACTAAGTAAAAGATTACATATGTTAAAAAGTACTTGAGGGCTAAATCTTAGGTGGTCAGTTTTAAGGAACTTGAAATTTACGAAAACCTCATAAGACCACCAAAATAGAGTTCAAAGGTAGGCCTTGTAGTGACAAAACATAAACCACATTGGCTTGAGGTTCAGAACTTAAAGCTCCCTGCTTGATCTCTGGATTAAAAACTGCCTATATGTGTGAAATGCAAAGTCCAACATCTGTACAGCTGAGCCTTCCAAAGTCTCAGGATCTCTGTCCATAAGAAAGTAATTTTTTTGAGAGACCTTTTGCTCTAGGGTGTGGGTGCTCTCTGGAGAGACAGAGAAAGACAGAAAGTGAGAAATCACTCCCAAGAGGGTATGGCCACAGCACAATCCCTTCTCCTCCAGTTTCCTCTAGGGATTTTGGGCATGTACTCACACATGCCTAGCATGAGCTTTACGCCTCCAGGTTCAGGACTCAAACTGTGGTTGACTACGTGGGAGTCTAGCAACATAACCAATATGTCATCGACTAATCCACAAAGTAAAATTTACTCCTCAATCCATACTACAAGTATAATGAGATTCCTACATGGTATAGATTTCATGTTTAACATGGTTATTGATATCAGTATTATGAGAGAACTTCAAAATTAAAATTTGTTTTGGTACCAAAAAATTTTGAAATCCATTCATAGTTTTCTCATAACATGTATTTTCCATGAACTTTTAAAACATCCCTTGATGTTTTAAGAAATTAAGAAATCATAGTCTATCTAAACAAACAGAAACACTAAAAACTTTTTAAAACTTTGTTTTGCTAGGAGCCTGTGGTCTTTCTGCTCCATTCATTTGCTCATTTGTTAACTCATTTGTTAGTTCATTTATTCATTCAAAGATGTATACTGAGCAATTTCTCTACGGCAGCCCTGTGACAGGTGCTGGATGCAATGATGAATGAAGCGTTCATGGTTTCTGTGCTCAAGGATCCTGATCTGGTGGGGCACAGAGTCAAACAAGGAATGTTGACAATAACAAAAAATTTAAATCTAATTATTGTTACATGTAAAAAATCACCCCCCCAAAAAAAGACTTTATTTTCTATTAAGAAATGAAGACTCAGTCTAAAGAGGAAAATAAAACATGTAAGCAAATAGAAATAACAAAAAGGTTATACAGTTTTCAAAAAAGAAATCGTGTTAGGCAAGAAGTGCTGGGTTTGGATTTGGATTTCAAACATAGCTTTGTGCTCTTGAACCAGTTATTGAAGTTTTCCAAGCTTCAATTTTTTAAGTGAGGTGAAAACTAGTACACTTACCTGATGGTAAGAGAATAGGGTAAAGGGCCGGGTGGCTCATTAAACTACAGTTATAGAATTGTTATTTTTTTGGGTCATGAAAGATTTAATACCAAAAAGGACATTTCAACTTGGTCTGGGAGAAGGAAGCAGGAACTGATCAAAAAGTTCATTAGAATATTCCAGAGAGAAGGAACGAAATGTGC